ACTGCAGAGATCCAGCCACTGCAGGACCCTGGTCACTGTAAGACCTGGCTACCGTGGGGCTACCAGCCAGCACAGGGACTCAGGGACCCGGCCACTGTTGGACCTGCTCCCTGGCCACCATGGAAATCAGGCACTGTTGGTTGTGGCCACGGCAGGAGGAGGCTATTGGCCATCATGGGAACTGGCCACGGTGAGACCCAGCCACCAGCCAGCGTGCGACCAGCTATGGGCCACCGTGGCCACCAGCTCTGCAGGACCTGGTCCCTGCAGGACCTGACTCGGCCACCGTGGGAAGGGGCCACCGTGGGACCGGGTTGGCAGCCACCACGGTGGCCCCAGCCCCGCTTGCCAACGGGGCTACCTTAATTTCTCCGAACTGAGCCAGGTAGTTCTCCATGAGCCGCAGCGCCTGGTCGTCCAGCTTGGCCTCGTAGTCGTCCCACAGCAGGTCATTGCTCTGGAAAGGGAGGGAAAAAGCGGGATGGGAGGGTCCCGGCCGGATCCGCGGGCTCCTTTCCCGCTGATCCCGGAGCGGGGACCGGGCTGTCACCTCGGCGATGGCCCTGAGCTCGTCGTGCCCGGCCCAGTCGGCGCTGTAGATCTCCTGCAGCGTCTCCGCCACCTTCCTGGAGCTCTCGTGCATCACTGCGGGGTGCGAAAACAGCGGGAAAACCTGCCCATTTGTTCTGCTGAGATGGGAAAAAAACGGGAAAAGCTGGGAAAGCCCCCCCTGGGATTTTGTACGGGGTCCCCGCACCTTTCACGGCGCCCAGGAAAGCCTTGAGGTCCTTGTAGAGCTTGTGGCCTTCGCTCTGCAAAGCGACACAGGGGCTCAGGGTGGCACCGGGGGGACCTGGGTGTCCCTGTCCCTTCGGGTGTCCCCGGGTGTCCCCGTCCCACCTGCTGCTGCTGGAAGTTGTAGGCGCTCTGCTCGAACTGCTCGTCTCGCGTCTCCACCGTTTTGCCCAGTTTCTGCAAAACCTGGCGGAGGCGGCAGCTGCTGCGGGTGCACCGAGCGCGCCAGGCCTCTGCGGCCCGGGAAACACCCCCAGGGCTTCATTTTTAGAGTTTCCCCCCTCTTTTGGGGGATAAAAAGGGGC